AGCAAGGAGAACTTAAGAGAAATCCATATAAGTACAAAGACCTAGGTCATCGAAAGTACGACTATCACCGACTTTGAAGGTTCCACCAGCGATGGCCTTTCTGTTAGGTGGTAACACCAATTGCACTTTATCAACCTGATATTTGAAATTTCAAAACGAAGGGCCAGCCTGCTGCCTGAGGGTTAGTACTACCCCACAGACAGTAAGGCTTGAGTAAGATCGGAGGGACGACTAAACGGGGAAGTCGAGACCTGGAATACCCATCTCGTACAAGGAATTTCAGAGAATCTGCGGGCTCAATATTGAGATGCAGAACTGATTGACCCTGAAAAATGACAGCCTTTTTGCCCAGTAAATTGTGGAAAACATTGATAGTGTTTTCAAGAGTGTTTTTAGAGTCCTCAACTTTTCCTATATTTCCGACGTACTGTACAAGTGATCAAGCCTCCACGCCGCACGATTGCTTCCAACTTTCTAGTGAGCATCCTACACGTTTCCAATGTCTGTCCAATGTTTGTCCATACGCTATAGTATCAAACACTCTTTTCCCTTCACTCACACAACCTTTGAAAAGGCCACCGACAATTTATCACAACACTTTTGATATGGGGGCACCTCAACGTGATCGCCTTGACAAAACCACCAGCCAACATAACCTGCTCGGTTCCCTTTGGTTGCTCCAGAAACCAGACATTTTCAAGACTAGGAAAGAGTGCCAGAAACTCTGGCAAAATCTTCAACGTACGCTCTGAAAAATCAACGCACCAAGACGAATAGATCGCCAGGTTGTTGATCTCAGTCAACTGAGAGACGGCGCTTAATTCGCACCCAATCTCCACGTGGTCCTGGAACCAAGCATCCACCCCGTTCTTAGACCTGAACCAGAAATTAAGCCTAACTTGGCCGACGTTCCGAGCCATTGAGGCGAGTGCGTCGTTGAAATGGGCATATTCGAAGCCCTGTGCAGGATAATATTCTGAAGAAAGTGTTATAAAACCTAAGCCACGCAATGGATTGGGTGAGCTGAGAAGCCAGCTGACGTATGCCGGATGTGCGACGAGGTTGTACAGGTTCGGAAGGATGCTTTCTTGTGCAAGCGGGAAAGTGGACGGGATGAGGAGGTTGTCAAGGTGGAGAAGGGTGATTGAGGGATGGCGGATAAGGAAGGATTCGATACAAGGAAACTCGGGCCCTTGTGGTCGCTTAAAGAGGTCGGATCTGATTTCGAATTTGGACAAGGAGGGGAAGGTGACGGCTGCGAAGAAATCGGACCAAACCTCCAATGCAATGTCGATGCATTTGAAGGAGAGAGTTGTGATGCATTCTCCGTTGAGTTGGAGCGTGGACAGAGTCCATTCTAGGAACGGCGGTTGGAGCATCATTTCGCAATGGACATAGAACTCGTGGAGAAAAGGCTTGATCCCTGGGCCGCACGATACAGGTGCATTGCAGAATAGGGAAGTCAACTTGCGACTCAACCACCCAAATAAAGTTCGGGAAGTCAGCTTTCCTCTCTTCCTTTTCCATGGTTGGAGAGAACTAGCAAGCCTGGAATTCATTTGCTCGACGTCCCTACTAGAGAGCGGCATGACTGGCTCCATAGTTTCTCGTGGGTATGTGTATATCGTCCTGATTCGGGAACCACCAGTGATGCGCAACTTCTTGCACCCCTTCACCAAGAACTGATCCAGCATGCTGCCAAACTCTCTTCTCCAGATGTCCACATCTAACTTGGGCCTCTCCCCGTTGGTTGGTTGGTACTTGGTAGGGCGGTTGGCTAAGCAGGAGTCGAATGTTAAGAAGTGTAGCTGCACTTGGTCAACAGAGAGCAGTCGTGCCACCAACCTACGAAGCTCACGAACTTCGCCCAACAAGTTGTCCAACCCAGGATTGAGGTAATAGTGGATTTTGTTGACCTTCTCGACGAACAGCGCCATTCGTAGGGCCTGCAAAGTCTTCCTCGCGGTCGGTGGCCTGTGGAGGAACACTAAACCATTCGCCAGCCCTTTCAGGTCGTCTCCTTCAAAGAAAGCAGCTAGAGCCGCGTAGTGGAGGACCCTGCATGTCATGCTTAGGCAGAAGAGCGAGTCGCTGTCGAGATATTCGAAAATGAGGCTTAGAACATCAGGAAAAAAAGTGGTTGCGACATCGCGCAATATAGTTTTGATAGCTATGGTAGCACTTTTGCAACCCCCCCTTTACATAGCACACCATAGCCTCACCATCAGTTTATATAGCACTATAAATACATATATAGCCTTGCCTACTTGCAACATAGCTCCCAATAGCATCATATTATGGAAGTCCTGCCGTCACATAGACACTATTGCATGACATAGCACAGATAGAGACCAGCTTAGAGGAAATACAGGATAGATATATATATATTTCAGGTTACAAACAGCATATATAAAAGATTACGAGATGATGCTATCGCTTGTCTTCAAGCTCTCCTCATGCTCCCACCACCATCCAGGTATTGTCCCACGCGCGGTCACTACCTTCGATTGCCCAGGTCTCGTCCTGCCCTTCATTCCGGAACGGTGCAACGAGGCTCCAGAAACCCACAGCGATCAGGACGCCTGTGATAGAGGCGGCCATGAACCCTGCGAGGGACTTACGCAGAGTGAGTGGAAGGCGGAAGATGGGAAGGTGTGCTGGGAGCTTGTGCGTGCTGGAGCCATAGAGGCGGCCGAATGTGGAGGTGGCTGTGTAATCGAGGGAGGTTAGGCAGTGGGTAGGATGGGTTAGGAAGGGGGATACATACACAAGAATGGCCACAGTTGCGACATCTTGTGGGTATAGAAAGAGGAACTAAAGTTGACTCCAACATCAGGACTGGAAACTACGTGAATAGATACAAAAGACTCACTATGCCTCTTTCTCAGCCAAAGGAACGGATATAGGTTGGCTAGGGTTAGCAGAAAACCCGAGGATGTACCATACCACGCCGTTCGTTGGATTCTGTGAAGAGTTTAGCTTGCAATGCGACAATGGAGGAAGGAGTTTGAGATTACCTTTCCCCTTTCGCACATGAGAAGGAGAGGGTATACGTGTGTTGGGCGTTAGCGGTGACATGCAGCTCTTGCGTTCAACCTGGGGCGCTGCTCGTGACAGTGGCGTCCTCAAGCGCTTGTTTCGTGTGTTTTCGAGTTGACGAAAAGAAGGGGGCAAGGATGAACATCGTCGTTTTGAAGAGAAAGGCGTAGAGGGGTATGGATGGAGAGATGCTGGGTGTCGGTTGAGGTTGTATGATGAAACAGGAGGCGAGATTGGGTGGGTGTCGTGGATTGATGATGTGGTATCAGTCGCAATGTCAACTGATCATCTCAACATGGTAGAGAGGCGTTCGAGGAGGGATACATTGAACGAAAGCCACATGACTGCCGTGGTTGGAAGGGAGGGGGTAGGAGAGCCAACAGACGAAGACACGATATGTTGTCGTTGTAGTTGGACTGGAGGCAATCTGTATGAGGTGGGATACGTTGATTGAAAGCCAAACAAGCGTTGTTAGAAAAGGGGAAGTGACAGGCGAGCAGACAGGTGAAGGTCTGAGGCGTTCTGGTTGACGCAAATGGGAAGATCGTGGTTAAAAGGAAAGAGCGAGAGAGGAAAAATTTCAGATCTTCAACCATCATGTGACATCGGGTCGTGAGCCGATTATCCGATGGTCGTGCGCATGGATTTTTGTCTAAGTCACAAAATATGTTCAACCTGTTCAACTCATACTGGCATGCACATCGATATCAAACGCTGGAATTGCTCATAGATACATTTTCTGTTTACTGCATCTCAAGACATTGATTGATTGACTACGAAAACATACTAATTGAGTAAACTGTCTACAGGAGCCTTTGTAGCACTGATAGCCACTGTAGTGGGTGGAAGTAACTACAGACCCGATGATAGACGCGGCGGCACCTCTGTCAGCCCTATTGCACAACGCGGCGGACCGACGGTCTACAGACAGCAATCAGCACGATCATGAAATCTGCCAAGCTATTGATGACTACGACAGGTACGATCGGCTACTGATCTAACCGGAGATCTACTGGCTAAAACTTTTTTTCCTGATGGAGGAATGTTGGACGCTCGGAACCCTGAGGATGCCGCATTCTTGAAGGAATACCATAATCCGTTCCTGCCCGCATCTGGTCGTCAAGCATTGAAAGACAGATATGAACAGACCTTCCGCCAACGGGAGAGCGCATTTGAGGCGAGCGGGGAGTTTCCGCCTGGGGGATACGCACGCATCTTGATTGGTGACAGCGTCGTCCGCGTTCAGACCCATGGTGGCCTCTCGGCGGCGGATGCCAATGGTGTCGTGAGGTCGGGTTTGTATACGTACGTGACAACTGAACCAACGCACGTCTATGACGGTGGCGCATTACATTATCGACTCGAAGTCGCAAAGGATCATGTGATGAGTGGCGTCTACGGTGTCGGGAAAAGCAATTGGAAAACTATTGACCGTTCCAACGTCCTCTTTGGGGAACTCATGTGGCCCATCGAGATTGATGTGGCGTATGCGAAAGATGCCTTCGTGAACGCGAAGCTGCGGGGAGAAATCCCCCACACTCTGCTATTTGATGAATACTTGTCTCAAAAACAACCTTCGCTTTTGAGGGACATCTGTATGCTCAAGTTCCTGCTGAAAGGAGACATCTTTGGCATTTGGTTTAGGAGTCTCGTGGGTCCTTGGGCTGACACGAAGTCCTTAGCCGAGTTCATCAAGGTGTACGAGATGAATGGCGACGGTATAAAGGACATCATGGAGTGGATCAGGAACCCCGTCTCGTTTACCCCTCAAGGCGAACGGACCGTTTCATCTGATCAGGAGGGTGTTGGGGAATGGGGCATATACGTGGGGGAAAAGAAGCTTCTCGACACCCATACTCTGATCGATTTGAGCAAAGAAACTGAGATGAAGAAGATATTGGACGACGCTATCGCGGAAGCCGTCGACAATATGCTATCCAGCGATAAACTCGACGAACTGAACAAGAATCAGCAAGATATCGTCATGAAGGAACTGCGCGAAAACTCATCGCAATACCTGGACTCCCGCATCGATCATGCGGTTGATACTCTTATGACGGATCCCCGCATCCATGAGCCTGCATCGGTTTTTCTCAACACAGTGAAAGATACCATACGCGCGGGGCTGGTCGACGAACTTTTTAACACACTTTCCGAAGACGTTCCTCGCTTCCATGAGCAACTATACACACGGGCTGACATCGAGCTTTATATTGACCGCCAATTCCAGGACCACTACCAACGCAAATACACGTTGGATGATCCGTTATTGCTGAAAGACGTGGAGATTGCTGTGCTTAACGCTCACGACAAGGTGTCGGAAGCGACTATGGCTGAATTGGTCGAAGAAGTAAGAAAGGCGGAAGCGATAGAAGTCCAGATCGCCCATGATCTGAAAGTGTTACGCGAGGAGAGGGATATAGCTGCACACGGGCAGTTGGAAGTTCGACGGGAAGCCCTGGAAGTCGATATAAAGAAGTTGGAGGAAGTCAAGGAGGAACGGAGGAGAGAACGGTTGGAAAAGAAATCGGGGCTCGAGAAACACGAGAAAGAGAGGTTGGAACGTAAGGAAAGGGTTAAGCATGTGAATGAAGCCCGAGAAAGGTTAGCGGAGCGGAGAGGCGGGGAGCATGGAAAGTAGTATGGGTTTGAATTGTAGGCGTATTAGTGCATGCGTTCTGTTTCTGAGGGTAATTCACTCCTCCCGCAGTGCACTTTTGCGTGCGGTCGACGACTGGCAAGCAGACTTCCTCTGACCTCATCTTCACTTTTCGT